GAAAGTCAGATTAACATTTCATCAGGACTGAGTAGCATAAATATCATACCTAGTTGTTAAATTTCCTAGAGCATTGTGTTAGTGAATCATGTTTGAGTCACTTCCTCAAGCCCCTCACCTGCCTATTCTAATCTGTTGATGATTTTATCTCCTGAGTATCTGTCTTGCTATAGTAGCCTCTTATCTGTTCTCCTTGACACTAGCTTTATCTTCTCTGAAATATTGCACATCATTGCCAAAGTGATTATGTTATTCCTTGGTTTCAAACCATTCACTCTCCCCAGTTTCATTTTGGATGAAGACTGAACTTCTTATCCTGGCATATAGAGTTCTTCTGGAAGGGGCCTGGCCTGTCTCTTTGGACCCTGCTTGCAGTGCTGGTACCATAACTTCTAGTGCCACCAAATGCCTTGAAGTACTTCTAAAACAACATGCTCTTACTCACCTCTATGTCCCTGTAAATATTTTTCCTGGAATACTCTTCCCCCGCTTTTATAACTTGACTAACTTTTGTTTGTGCTTTAAGACTTAGCTCGTGTCCCCTCCTCTGATAACTTTTCCATGACCATTTAGTTCTCGTACTCCCTCCCCTCAGTTTGATTCTGATTTTTAAATATGTGTATTTATAATACCTTGTGGTTACCTCTGTATTACAGAATTTATGATGTCGTAGTAGTTTGTTTATTTGTCTGATTACTCCATTATAGTGTGAGCTGCTTTAGCGCTTGTAAAGTGACTTTCATATTTGTATTTCCAGTAACTGGGACAGTATCTGGCACATGATAGATATTCATTATGTGTTTTCTTGAGTGAATAAATAAGTATTATAACAGTGATATTTTATGGTTTTTTTATATATAATGTTTTTATAATTTTATTATTTATAAATCATATTGTCACAATGTTTTCTATAAAACCACTGGTATAGAAGATATAAACCTAAAGGGCTGAATTGCACCTCAAATTAATGCTTGATTCTCTGCAATAATGGTGAATTCTCCTTCCTACACCTCAGTATGTTAATTATCAACTAGAATTTAGATTAACTACTGACATGTCTCTTTGAGTCCTTGAAACTTGCATAAACTATACTTTTATTTAGGGCTTTCGTTCTCTGTGGAATTCACTCATAACTGGTTGCTAGGCAACCAGGGCTAGATGCTACATGTAGTATGCACCAACTGATGTTGCTTTTTTATTATTATTAAACCAAATGGTTTCTCATTTTATTACCATATCAAAGACATCTGTATGTAGGGTGGCAGCTGATGTGCATAGTTTGACACTTCCTGTTGTAAAAAGTAACCTTGCGATATGGCTTTCAATCATATTGAATTGCCTCTTTTGCTTGTCTAAATGTAACGTTTCTCTTTTACCTTCCTTTTGCTTAGGTCAAAATAGGAATATATACTATTTGGTTTGAGAAATTCTAATGATAATCTTGTTAGGAAAAAATTATCATTATCAATTTGCATGAACTGTGTAGTTTAAATGTTACCTAGAGGGGATGGACATTAGGAGGTTGAGACAAATCATTATTATGTCTAATTTAGTTTAGTGCTCTAATGATCAAAGAGGAATGATGAATAGCACTTTAATTAAATTTATCAATGAAACTAATTTGGAAGATGATACATATACCTGTAAAAATTGAAGTAGCAATACAGAGGAATTCTCAAATCATTTTATAGGGCTTAGATGCTCAAGTAGCGTTAGTGTAACACTTTGGAACCTAAAAATCTAAGATATTGCTTAACGATATTATTCTGAAAATGTAGAAGTGATATGTTCAAATTTTCTTAGTCGAACCAAGTTTTCTAGTTAAAAGTTAATTTAAGCACAGAAAAACATTTTGCCTTAATAGCTTACGGAAATACAAGTTTTTGTTTTTAGTAGCATCCATCCATTTATCAGTAAATGAGAACTATTATGTATTTGGAATTAAAAAAAAAGACAATTTCTGTTCTCAAAGAATTTAGTTTTGATTTCATTTGAGAGACAGGCACATGTGTTGAAAAATTTGTAAATCTTTCTATTAAGAATTAAGCACAAGAACATAATTTTGTTAATTGAACTGTGTCCTCACTGAATTATTTCCTTAAGTAATGGGGCTTTGGCTTCCTTGCTTTGGCTTCCATGCTCCCTGGCACAGTAGTGGCTACAGCAGGTATTTAGATTGGACTGAACTTTAATCTCACTTGGGAAATGATGTAATTAAGTAAGAAGGAGGATAAAGGAGGACAAGGGGACTAGGGAATGAATATGGTTCTGAGATTATAAGTTTGGTAGTTTCAGACATTTCATACTTGAGATGCCTGTGGGGCATTTGGGGAGAATGTTTAGTAAGTAGCTGAATATAGACCACAGTTTAAGAGTGAGGTTGATACCAGAGGAAGACATTCGCTATAATCATCACCGTATAGGTGGTGCTTAAAATCAAGGAAGCAGTTGAGATCACTCAGGGAGGGAGTATAGACTGATAAGAAGGGAATGGCCTTGAATGGAACCCCTAGAAAGTCAGTGTTTAAGTGACCTGTGATGGGCAGCAGTAGAAGTAGGAGATGAATTGAAAGAGAAACCAGTAAAAATACCGGGAAAGGACCTTGAATGAAAAAGGAGCACAGGCAGGGGAAGTGGTATCAAAGATGCCAAGGGAAAGATTTCAAAAGGAATGTGAAACACCGTCAAATCCCATAGGAAAGTCAATCAGAACTGCATACTGTCAATTGGATTAGGCACATGGGAGCCACTGGTAGCATAGCCACAACATTGGAATGGTTCAGATGCAAGTCGATTCCTGTCAGGAGTCAAGGAGTAAATGAAAATCGAGGCTGTGAAGATACAGGGAGTGTAGATTGCTCTTAGTAGAGCAGGGAATGAAAGAAGACTATATCTCGGAGCTTCACGGTCGAGGAAGTGTTTTATTTTTTTCTTAAGATTGGAAGGATGAGCATATTTATAGGTTAAGGGAGAAATGATGTCTATGTAAGTAAGATGAAATAGTTGAAGGAGCAAGTTTCTAGAAAAGGTAGGAGGACATAAGATCAAGAAATCAAACTGGCTAGAGTTTACAAGTACTTTCCAACCTGGCTTTTTAGTTCCTACTTAGAACAACCCAGTGAAGATGATAGATAGATGGTCATTTATCATTTTTCCTACTTTAAAGTTTGGTGGTGGAGCCTCAGGAAGTTCACGTTAAAACCTGATTTTTTAAATGAAAAGTACTGTACTTCCTTTTCTTCAAAAGAGATGAATGAATTATTTCATACTTTACTATTTTTGAAAATTAATACCAAGAACTTCTTCATCGGAAGAAATATACTTGCTTAGACTTACCAAAAACTGTTAAACTCTATAAAGTGCCAGAGAGAATTTGCGTAAATCATTGTTTCTGCTTTCCCCAAGTTACGTACGTTAGATATGTCATCTAATGAGTTTACATCTCAATGTGACTTTACTGTCATCCTCACATATCACTGCGTTTTCTCTGGTGAGCTGATTTTTTAATTTAGAGAT